GTATATAAGGACGATGGTAGAGTGATTTTAGTTAACTTAAGTATTAACTAGTGTATGGGAGTCATATATGATCTTCTCTGACTAGTCTCAATCACTGATTATCCATCTTCAAGAAAGGCGAGGTCCTCTTGTGATAACCATAGAGGGACCAGCATGAAAAATATAGTGTCTCAGATTCTAGGTTCTAAAATCATCAGACGCCGGAGTGGGGCTCGGGAACAGCAACCCTGAGAAAACCAGACAGGCTTCAGACCTGATCGTGATTGTATCAACCAAATATTCATACTCCGCTAGGTTCTGGAACACAGACGCGATTGCCAACGCCCGACAATAGCTGTATTTCACGACCTAAAGGCGGCATTCGATTCCGTCGATCGAGAAGTCGTATGGCAGTGTCTCACTGAAAGGGAAACCAAGTAAGTACATCACCTTATTGAAAACTCTTCATTCAAAAGCATGCGATCGTGTTAGAGTCTACGGTGAGATGTTGGGCAAGTTGTGTACGTCGAGTGGTGTCCAACAAAGATGTCTATTCTCTCCATTCCTATTCCATTTTTATCACAGATGTTTTTGTGGAGGTCTCCCTCTCGTCATCTGACGATACAGGGATTGATTTGATCACAGCAGAATGCTTGGTAGATCTAGAATACGCAGATGACATAATTCTGCTAGGTGAAGACGTTGCCAAGATAGAGAGTCTTTTGGATACCTTGAATGGCAATTAGAGAATGTTTGGGGTGTGTTTCTAACCACTCAAGTCCAAACTGTTGCTCCAGGACTGATCTTCAACGGTGCTCCGACTAACAGTAGACAGTGAAATGGCTGAGTGCGTTGAACACTTCACTTACCTGGGGAGTCGGGTCAGTCCTGGTGAGTTGGTCAGTAGCCGACGAAATCTCTGCACGGATACAAAAGGCTCGGTTGACTTTTGCCATCTTACGCCATCTGTGTCGCCGCAGCGTTAACCGACTGTCTATTAGGGATCGAGTGTACTGCACAGCAGCTCGCTCTTTCCTACTGTATGGCTGTGAAACGTGGTCATTAAAGGTTACAGACATGAGAAAGCTTCGGGTGTTTGACCACTACTGCCTTAGTAGTATAGTCCGTGTTTCGTGGTGTAACGCAGAAGTCAGACGTGAAGTTTTAGTCAAGAGGTAAGACGGTCAATGCAGTTGTGAACCTTCATCAACTGAGATGGCTGGGACATGAGTTACGTATGCCTAGCCACCGTCTGATTAGACATACAATGTTGGCAGAAGTAGGTTCAGACTGGGAAGGGGCTCGGCATGGCTAGACTGGAACATGGCATCAATGCATGAAGTCCTTGACTTTTAGTTTAAGCCATGTAGGGCGATGCAAACCAGCTGGTTGGGGTCTGAGAGAAGAAAAACCAGTGGTTGGCGAGTCTAGGAGATCACATGGCTGAAAACCGATGTCAGTGGCGCAGATGCATACACACACTATCTTCCTCTCAACCACTACACTTAATCTCTTCATTTCCTCCTTCCTTCCCTTCTACTTCCTTTGGCCGATTTTTCTTCCTTTCTTCACCCTCCATTTTATTGCCTTGTTACTTGATGTGCTGATATGAAGTGTGGTAATTTGGACCGTGACGCTGTAATGCCTGGTCCTATGTTGATCTTCATGATGATATCGCTAATCATATCGCGTCGGAGCATTGTATTGTTGTATGTACCATGGAACATAACAATGAAAACGGAGATGGGATCAAAACTGGACTCTTCGAAGCTGGAAAAATTTCTCGAACAAATGAAAACTATCGAGTTATTGAAGCAGTCCAGAATTTCTGCAGCTGAATCACGAATTCTACGCCTGTTAAATCAGCCCCTTCAGTCGACGGAATTGGAGCTAGTATCAAAGGATTTCATTATGATCAGGATGCTAGTACGACTTTGGATACTTCGTCCCGAAGATATGAAGACCATGTTAGAGGTGATTTTGCTGGTCAAGATGATTCATAGAAAGTTCGTCTCCTTCCAAAAACTGGTCCATCCGAATTACATCAGTATTGCAACATAATACTGCCTCAGAGCCCAAGAGACCGGTCCTTCGATGCCACAATACAGACCCTAAGACAACACTTTGGTGATCATTCACCTTTTTTCAATGCCAGATATTGTCTTAAACTGGTGATTTCCTCACTCAAGTTGGTATTGTTAATCATGAATGTGAAAAATTCAAGCTGAAGTTCATCGCCGATGACAATTTCAAATCTTTGATACTCATACGCAGCCTTCAGTCGCCCAAATTCGCGGATATTAGAATGAGATTGCTAAATCGGTTGGAGCAAGAACCAACACTAACGTTGTACGATATTGCTGCTGAACATCAATGACTGGTCAGCCTGCAACGGGATACAAGTTTAGTCCAATCCTGAAGCCAGGGTGGTAGTGAAGTACATGAAGTTTGCCAGACATTTAATGCCTCTGTATCCTTTTCTGGTCGAAAGACCCCCTGTTCCTCGTCTCTCGTTCACCATTCCAACAGCTCATGCAATACCAAAAGAAACATGAAGACGTCTTCGTCTTCCTGCTGGAATTGTGGTGCGTGGCATTCCGTCAAATCTTGTCCTTATACGCAGAATAAATGCAGAGATGGTAATACTATCGATTAAAAGGACGGATTTTACAAGCAGCTTCAGATATTATCTGGTAGTCTCGACCTCAGTAGGTGGAATGATCTTCGAATATGTGATGCAGGGATTAAAAGTCAACGACAAGATCAGAGTCATGACTCTATGATAATTACGTAAGGCAACAGAAACTGTTTCATCACAGTTGAACATTCGGCAACAAAAAAACACGATGTGAGGTATTCTATAAAATGGATGGTGCGTAAAACAACAACCTTCACTGACACCTTAAATGATAGGTGAGGAACTCCAAAAGCGGAACCTCGCACAGAAGTTCATCGGTTTAAGTTACTACACTTCTCAGCAGCATGCAAAGAAGTGGATGAAAAAAGACTGATATCGAAGCAGACGAAGGTGTATGAGTGGGGAAAAAGTTTGAGAATGGAGATTAGTGAAAACATCCAACCTTTAGAAGACGTCAAAAAGTGAATACATCAGCATCGTTGTGACCGATTTTTAACTGTTTCATCTCAAGTCTCCAACTATTGGTGCCTATGGTTTCGAGGACCTTAGCTCGCCAATCAACATCTCTCCATGAGGCTAAAACTATCACAAAATTCACACACTGGTGCCATATCTTAATCCGGTCACTTAATCCAACTTTGTCTAGCATTGCACGGCAAGGTAGGTGGTGACTCGGCATGTTTAACATATCTCCAAGCCACCACAGTCAATAAACATTCACAACCTCCTCGAACGACTACTAGCCTATTTTGCCTAGTATCCTTCATCTAACCTTGGCATTGCTCACATGATTTCATCACATGTGAACAACGCTAAGAACACGTGATCAAAAACCTGTGGCCTCTTCTTATCTACTTTCAGGAGTCAGGTCTCGGGCTAGTAACAGGACAGAACGGAGCGCGGCACAGTATAATCATCCTTTAATAGTCTTATCTTGCCAGTTGGCACTAGATATGAAGCAAGTTAGCAAATGGCAAACGGTCATACTGTAACTCCTTCAGTAACCAGCACCATCGAGATGATGTAACTCCCCAAGTAAATTGGTCGATGCAGTCCACCACTTCACTCCCTGTCCCTAAACCAGGAGTAGTTACAGACCAGTCCTGGAGCATCATCTTACATTTGACAGATGCCAGCGAAACGCATCAGAAACATGCACATTTCTCCATGTTCAGAAGACGCTGAATTTTGTCTGCATCTGACAAAATGGCATCATCTGCGTACTCCAAAAGCAAATTATCCAACCCACGGTCCTAGTGGTCGTAACTCTATAACAATATACTTCATAGTCAGTTACAGTTTATCGAATTTACGAAGCGAAGGTGCAGTACTATCGTGTCACAATGCATTGGGAGGACAACTTCCTTTCGGCACTTCATGAAAATGAGGACGAGAATATGGTAAGGAAAACAACTCAGCTGTTTAGAACACAACATAAGATGACTTCCTATCACTATGAAGTGAAGCTATTCTTAAAATGTCTAAACGATTAGTGAGACTCATCGAGATTTTAAACGGCAACCAATTGCATAGAAAATATCGTTTCTGTACTTTGCAGGACTTGTAAATTCATATGGGAAGTTTATTTATGAAGTCATATTTCGCCCAATTTAAGGTTGCACTGATCACTTTATCAGATGACTCGACATTTTTGTATGTACTGAGAACCTACCTCTACACTGCCAGTATCCCGAATGTTGGTATGCAACCTCAGTGCGGTACTCTATCTGAGAAGTATTATAGTAAATGAAGAGATTAATTAAAATTAAGCTTAAAACTAGTTTCACACTTTGAACGGAATAACGACCACTAATATAAGGTCAGGCTACATAAAGCTTACACAGCAGCATATAGCATAACGGCAGTACTAACTCATTACCTGACAACAGGGCTATCCTTCAGTAACTGGGGATTACTGTGCTCTGAATATCCCTTTTAGAGGTTCGCTAAAAGTTTACCAACATCTCAAAGGTCTTATGCATGCATACGACTTCATTATTGCTTTAAACCACCAGCAGTTTTAGTCATGGACTTGATTCAGCTATTTCGCTCAAGCTCACCACTGACAACATTCGTTAAACAACTCTGAACATACACGGTGATGAACTTCAAGCTAGTTTGAACTCACGATACGATCTGGTTTGGTGGATAATACGAAATTATTGTACATTACATGGCTTAGAAGTGCTAACTCTTACCAATTGTTACTGTGCATTATTGTGGATTGTAATTAGATTGACATTAAAGTATCCTAGTCAGTGTGAGTACTAAAAACATACGGATGAATCTATAGTAAGATATGAAACAAAAACCCTCATTTGTAGCAAAAACCTGAAGTGTAATCTTAGTACGAAACACAAAACTGAAACTTTTGCAAACCAACCTTTTTCTGCAATCTGATGACAGATGTCCACTTCTTTTCCAGTAGACCGTCGTATTTCTTATCGTTTTCCCCTGCCTGAAAGATAGTCAACAACATGTATTACTCTACTCACCAGTTGTGACTCCTCTCTAAAAGCATCCAATGCTTTGATGTATCCATTCGCGTATAAATAATCTGCGATAGCTCTATTTCTACATACTGAAATAAGCATTTAAAAACACATACAGCTCCTCCTTTTGACGCTGAGCTAAGACCATTGGGTAATTAACCACTGAAATAAGCCAGTTGAAAACAGTAACTTGCTGAGGCTTGAAAGTTTTTTTTTCAACCACAAAACCTTGTATACCAAGTCGGAGTGAAAGTCGTACCAAATATACAACGGGGTTACCAAAGGCGAAAACAACCCACTCCAATAGCGCGCCCCAGTTGTTTTATTGCTCCTATCCGAAAATGAGGTAATATGTTATAAAAGTCTGCTTGCTTATTGCATGCAAATATTTCTAATTCATTTTCAAATGTTGTGTTTAGTGGGAAAGCTTTCTATTGCATTTGGTGGATTCCCTTTGCAGTAAGTCTACCCACTCGCCTTCTGTAGCTCTGATTAGTCCGACAGGCGGTTGTGTGTTGATTAAATTTGTGGGGGTTGTGTGGTTTTTTCAAGGACTGTGGTGCAGATGGGCTCCTTAAGTGTTGTGCCACCAGGTAGTCGATTGGACTGGTTGTAAAAGAGAGATCGAGATGTTCAGAGAAATCAAGGGAGACGAAGTGTGAAGAAAGAGAAACGGGAACGGTTAAGGTGAAAGGAAATGGAGCGTAAGGGAAGGAGAAACCTAGATAGATTCTTGGGAGATAAGTGGTAGGGAGAAATTTTGATAAATATTGTGAGAACACAGGGTCAGAGGGAAGAGAAAGGGCAAGTAAGATTATAGGATTCGTTATTTGAATACAGATAATAACTCTATTAGTAGGAGACGGTAACTGAAGGAGGTGACTAAAGGGAAGCATAAGGTTGAGTCAGGATCGCGGTGATGGTGGCGGTACAAAAGGTTGGGTAATGGTTTGGCTGTGTGGAGCTAGTAGGTTGTGTCAACCTAGTCCATATCCTAGATAGAAGAGTGCAAACCATGCGTCACCGCGTGACTGTCCAACCTCTTCTTGAAGCTGTCAGCAAACGAAGTAGTGGCAATCTGGACAGGCAGTGCGTTCCAGTGGCCGCAAACTCGCAGACAGAAGTATGAACGCATACGAGTTTTCTCCCTTTGGTGGGCCATTCTCCTTAGGTTACTACGGGGATTGACGCAGTCACCTTCCGGTAGGATTTCACTCTTCGGTTGACTTGGATTACTTAGCATTTTATAAGCCGTTATCAAGTCACCACATAACCCATGGTAGCTAAGAGAGTAGGGCCGTAGGTCTCCTGGACTTTCCTCACAGGGTTTTTGCTTCGTTTCTGCAGCACGCCTCGTTACTCGCCTCTGGAATTTCTTCTGGATGTTCACTTCTCTTTTCGGGTGTCATGGTACAATGACGATGTGGACCTCTGAATGAGGTCGTATGCAGATCTTGTGCAGCTTCAAGAAGAGTTTCATGGTGAGGGCACCTAGAAGTCTGAGCATGAAACAAAGTACTGCGTGGGCTATGGAGGCTTCTCCTGGGTTATTGGAGCTAGTGTCTAGCTTGTCGGTCGGTATTAGTCCCAGGTCTTACGCTATGGTGGAGTGGGAAAGCTGCGTTCCACAGGAAGAGTGGGGTACTTCCTGAGAGTCGGAGGTGTGGAGAAATGCGGTTTGGCATTTTTCAGATTAAATCCCTGTCCGTTATTATCCGCTCACTCTACAAGCAATCTGAGATAGCTTTGTAGTGCACTTGATTCTGCTTCGGATGTCACAGCTCTCCATAATATAACACCTTCGGCATAAAGTAGAATCGAGGAGCGAAGATTCAGTGGAAGGTCGTTCACAAAAAGAAGGAACAGCAGAGGGCCCAGATGATGATGTCTTCCAAGCTGAGCAAACCCTATTGACTTTTGCGTGGAATTTTCTGCCGTCTTAATAGTCATTTAGTCAGGCGGGCACTTGACCCTTGATACCCAACGCCGATATTCTGTAGATCAGAATAATGTGTGGGACTGTCAAAAGCCTTAGCAAAGTTCAGGAGAATAACATTAACAAGAACTTGGATGTCCCAGCACGCCGTCCACCTATCATCGGTGGCTAGGAAGCTTGAGGATCAGGACCTACCCTCTCTGAAACCGTGTTAAGTATCAACTGATGCCCCCCCTTTTCCAAGTCCACCCAGACATGATCGTCTACCAGGCCTTCCAGCAATTTTAACACTAGTGGAAGAAGTGCTGTTGATCGACAGTATTTCAGGCTCCGTCTGTCTCTTCCTTTGAAGATGGGAGACAGGATAGCATATTTCCACTCTCGTGGAAGCATATGATTGTCTAAAGAGTGCAGAAACAGATTATGGAGAGGACCGCATAAGGCACCCCCGCATCCTTTCAACGCAGCCGGCCAGATGTCATCGCATCCTCATGAGTTCCCTGGGCGGGGCTCCGATGGCTTTTCGAGGACATAGAAGAAGTTACCATTATTCCAGGGGACTCTACTGCATTTAGTAGTTCACAGTTGGCGATATCGGTATGACCTGACTCCTTTCGAGGGATCCTTCGGTTATGCCATCCTTTAGTCAGCGCTTCCTTTCATACATGAGGTCCGCTTCTTCGGTATTTTTGTGACTACTGGGACGTTTTCAGAGGTGGCTTTGCCGTAGCAAATGTAACGATGAGGCCCCTCCCATGACAGTTGTACACCGAATGCTAGATCGAAGACTACCAGACCATGTTAGCTGCTGCCAAAGAGGCGACGTTTTCTGCTAGTAGATAGCCACTGGTAAGAATGTAGTCCAGTATGGATGGTTTTCCACTCGATCCTCAGAGAGCGTCATCTCCAATGTTCTCATACAGTCCAGCCTTTCTTATAGTGTTGGGTAGGTTTTAATTGAATCTCCAGTTTGAGGTTCCCCCGTCCTACACAAGATTAGGAGTTGGGGCATTAAAATCCCTGGCTGCAACGACCTGGTCATATCCCATAGATATCGCCCAGGAACTTCCTTGGAGCAACTGTCTGTTATGTCCCACGTTGCTCGTAGGGGTTCTGCAGATACCATGCGCTTAGTGTCGAACTTTAAAGCGTCACCAGATGCAGTCTGGGGGCCCTGAAAGTAGAGTTTCAGTGGTCAGCTCGCTTCTGATACGGTCACTTGTAACCATTGCCACTCCGCCACCCTTCCCTAGCTTCTTATCTCTCCTGAAGATAGCGTAGCGTCTGTACTAGCTTTGATGTCACTAGCATCCGGTGATAATCAAGTTTCTGTTAGGATGGTGGTCTTCGGAGTAAGGTAGGAACAGTGATCGTGGTTCCCCGTCTTACCTCCAAGTCCCCTCACATTACTGTAAAGATACTCAGGGGTGGTCCTAACAACATGGGGTGTCCTAGTGGTGGCAGGCCGCATGGGGTCGTGTGCAATGGTGAAATTCGGTACGAGGCGGCCAGCTCTAGTGGAACCGACCCAGCCATGTCTTTTCCCACAGTGGTTTCCGACGATTTTATAGATCCGAGGACGGTTTGGATATCTCGTCTGCTGACAGTATCGGTGACTTCGGCAATAAGTGAGGCTGTTGTTTGCTGCTGTCTCAATGTCCACGCTGCCCGCTTTCACGACAGCTGGCGTTCCTGCTGATGTTGTCTTTAGCTGAGTACTAAGCCTGCAGCGCCTTGGTTGGAAGCTCTTGACACCCAGAGTTAATAGCCATCAACCTGGTCGACGTTACTGACGTCAAACTTGGGGGACGTGGCAGTTTGCGGCCTCCGCCACCGCTATCCCGTTTAACCTTATCCTCGCCAATCACTACTGCCGCTGTTGAACATTACAGGCATGTTTCTCCACCGGTGTGTCCATTATCAGTTCCAGTGTGCCGTGGACAACCATAGGTGTCGGCTTCAGCGTTAGGGACGCTTCGCGGACTACTGTTCCCATCGACTATGACCGGAGTTGCCCAACCAACTGCTGGATGACTGATTGATAACCGGCGTGTGCGACAGTAGTAGGAATCTTTCCGCCCCCCCCCAAATGAGCTCGGGGTCACTGTCGTAGGCAGGGGCCTCCCCTGAGGTGAGTAATCGCTTCTGTAGAGCCAGTGAAGCTTTGCTCCCAAGCAGCTCAGTCCTAGTATGCAGCATACGGTTCGTCAGTGCTATTTGCCGAAAAACTCTTTGTTCTCAAAAAGACTGTCATGGCGCACAGGGATGTTAAACAAGACGATAGAATATGACCTGTCACCAACGTCCATGTTGAGTGGGTTTCTTGGTAAGGGTGCCCCTTCTTTTCCGCCATGACATATTTTCCCCGATTTGCGGTGGGGGTGGCCGTTAAGGCAACTTCAGGGCTCGGGGCTGATGTGGATGGTCGTTGTTTGGCAATGTTCAACCATTCGCAGGCGTGACCTTCTGAAGAGCGACGCTGACACCCCTGTTGTTCGAACTTGTGTCGAAGGTCTGTGTGGGTGCCGGCATCGCGGTGGCTACTGCAGCGCCTTTTACGACCTCTCTGAGCGAGCTTGTAGAAGGGGGTTGACATACATGGCGCTGGGAGGTTATACCAGGACCACGTGCATATGGGCATAATACTGGTCTGGTACGTCCTTTCTATACTGACAGTGTCTCCGCTTGCTACAAACGTCACACTCAAAAGCAGAGTCCATGCTGGCTACGGTGAGACCACAAGTGTGACAACCCTCGGTCCGGTCGGAGGGTCTGGTCAAAGACTTTCTTTTCCTTTTTCGTCATCTCTCCGTATTAACCTCCACACGCAGGCCAGGCTTTGGGCTAAGTTTGCAAGAGAGACATGTTCCCCGATGAAGGATAGTAATTCGACCTTTTCCAGGAGATGGTAGTTACGACTGCTCTTTTGAGGTCGACCGTGATCCTTTGCGGCTTTAAACCTCTTGTCTCCGTTCCTAATTGCTACCACGGGAGGGGAGGTCGACAGTTGAGACGAGACTTTGTCTGATGTGTTTTTGAGGCAAGATTTGGCTAGAATGCAGATTTTAATTGTTTCGATAGGTGATTAGGGGGAAAAAGCGAGATAAAAGTGCGCAGGTCAGGTAAATGCAGAAAAACTATGATGACCAAAGTAAGTTGTCAGACTTGCCTAGGATTACTTAGTTGTATGACTCAGAAGAGCCCTGCAAGCTCCACACAAGTCCAAGATGTATAGTCAAATAAGATAAGTGGTGCTGTATATGCAGCAACCTGAACTGTTGCAGTTGATTGAGACAGTTACACCTACCTCACAGTTGTCCGTTTTGAGAGTGATGATACTGACTGAATTGCTCTTTCTGCAGACACTTTTCCGGCAAAACTGTTACTT